GCAGCAGCCCCTGTTTCAAAAGGAGAGAGAGAGTGATTTTTCCAATCAGCGGCATCATCTGGTCGGGACGTGCGTGCAGTGCGAGGGGGTTTGATAAAATATTGGTCTTCTCCTTGTACCTGTACTTCAGTACACACACCCGCGTATAGACGGCCGATAATATATGGATCTAATTTAATGCGACTGGGCGCCTTAATATTCCATTGTGGGTACAGGGCAGGGCATAAATTCTATGCCAGCATTTAAGAAGGAACGTAGGGGCGTTTTTTATTTGCAGAATATATCCCTAGGAGTGAGTTTGGAGGAAACAAAAAGAAGCTGCTCGCACAGGTCACAATGAGTAAAATCAACAGCTCTTAAGTGGGTCTTCGGAAGGCGGCGTCCTCTGATCTTGGCAAACAGACCTCTAAGAAACGAGGTCCGATTTCCTTCCTATCCCAAAATTATAGTTGGGACACTTGTGCTTTCTTTCAAATTTAGCACGGCCCTGTCAACTTATTGTTTGGCCTCGTGAAAGGTTAAAAAGGTTCAGTTTGCACTTTTCATTAATTTTTTAAAAGAAAATTTTTCTTGTGTGTGGTCATATATATAAAAAACGGGACCGTAAATCGGAGCTGAGTGGTTTTAATAACCTGTGTGTGTTATTGAAATGGAACCCAATCAATAAAAACTTCCTCTCCGAGCGACCAGCAACATAAATTGGCGAGCGGAAAAGAACAAACACGGCGCTCTTTATGGAGCTTTTTACAATCGACGGCGCTGCCGCGAAAAACGAGCCAGCTCTACATAAATCTGACGCCGACACAGAAGCCGCAAGCGAAGCAAATTTATGATTTACGCCGGCTATTGATTGAGAAAAATGGCTAATTAAAATCGGACAAAAACAACATCGGCAGTAAATTCTTCTTCCTTCTCGAAAATATTTAACAGACTTCAGATATGAAATTATGTTCGAACCAGAGTGGCCATTAAGTATTAAAATTACAGCCGGTCGTGTGTATTCCGGTCCGAAAAAAAAATATTTATGCTCGCCGCTGAGCAAAGTGGTGCTCTTCGGGCCTGTGTGTCCTGCTTTGAAGTGCTGAGAGGAATTAAGACCTCCGCGACGTTGAGTTATTGTGCGTCTAATCTGATATGCAGCCGGCAACACACGCAGCTATTTAGGTATTTAGTATATAACTACGTTAAGTAAGATAATCCGTCTGTTTACAGCCGCCACTTTTTCATTTGTATAAATCGTATCAGGTTTGCGATTTTGTTCTCCGGCAAGGCCAATGAACTAAAATAACTCTGAAATATTTTATTATGGGCCGATACGAATAAACAATCTGACAAATTTAGCTGGGGGATAAGTATCTTATTGGGCTACATGTGTGAAGTACAGTTTTCTTAAATTCTTGAAGAGACAAAACACAATTAATTATAAATTTAATATTTTTTTTCTATTTATTATTATATAATAATTTTAATTTTTTTTTTATTAGAAGATTTAAAATATTACAATAAAATTAAAGCAATTTAAATATTGCTAACCTAGCATTTTCATTTGACTTCTGCTTCTCTTAAATTTTCATATTTATGTAATTTTATTTGATGTACTTTTTGTTATGTATAAACATTTTTCTTTCAAATTCTAAATCCCATCCTCTATGCGTAACGCTCAAGAAGGTGCACTTAGCGCTTGATGATGATTTTACAAACTTTTTAGGGCATTCCGTTGCAGGGCAAAATTTAATTGCCCCATAAAAGTGGTTAGTCTAGAGCGCGCTAACAAGAAGTGCAATTTGGGATTCTGAGCGCACAGGCATCACAGGCGCAATAAACGGGCAGACAGAAGAGATCAAAAATGAGCCCAAGGAAAAAATTCTCAAGTTTTTCACAATTTGTTCCAACAACGATTTTCGCCTGAGCAAGAACATATTTTCCTTCAAGGGATTCCTTTTTTATACCGATTGCATGCGGTGCGAGAACCATCAAGAAGGGCATTGTTGGTCTCATAATATATGGCTGGACCGCAATATATCTATCGCACCCGTATAATATCAATCGCAGGCATTGTTCGCGCAGTCCAGTCATATAAGACGCAGGGGAAGAAACAAAAGAAACGTTTCTTGGATGAGAGGGTGTACATGGGTTTGTACCTTTGGAATTGAAGTAAAAAAATGGAAAATGAGGCCAAGGATTTAAGTCCTGTGCAGCAAATTGAGGGAAAAAAATTTAATTTTTAATTTTATATATTATTTATTCTACTGTGAATTCCATTATTAAATTTAATAATAGTTATACTTCAGTATAATTTTCCACGTTGCTCATTTTTTGTTAACATTACAAGCCAAACCAAACTAGGAAGGATGGTATTAAAAAGCAAACTATACCAACACTCAAAACTTGATTATTTAATTTCACTGCATTTATAGAAAATCGTTCTTAAAATCGGAAAATTCATAAAAATTTAAAAATTTTATTATTATTTGCCATGAATAGTTTGTTTCTGTCATTAAATTTTACTTTAATTTACTTCATTTTAATTTTAAATAAATTTTTTGCCTTGAAATTAAACAATTAAATTATTTTTATGATTTTACTAATCCAAATTATGCAATGAAAGATTGGTGGAATAAATTGGTGCTGTGTCAGCATTCTTGAAAGTCTGTGTGTCATGGTGCTCAAGTTGTCTTGCTTTTTTTAATTTGCCATGCAGATCCAGTGCACGCGAGTTCCAACAAGTGACTGTTTGGCCGCTAAGCGAATGTTCCTTCACACCTGTTTTTATTGTTATTACCACCAGCAAGCAGGTAATTCGAGTTAGTCGCTCTGCTTTCAGAGAACGAAATGAGCTCGGAAATCACGGCACCACGTTTTTCAACATGCACCAGAGCCAAGTTGGAAAAATTCAAAACACGCAACCAGAGAGACAAAAAACGTTTTCGAATTCTCAAACGAGAATTTAAAATAAAAAAAGCGACTGCGAAGGTTGTGAGATATGAAGCAAAATCACGCGTTGGATTTATGGTGATGGATCTGCTCATTATTGCCTTCATGTTTTCGGACGCTAATGGTTCACACCTTTTACGCGCAAGGTCCCAAAGACGAATGACGATCGAGGATGAGAAAAGAATAAAATTTTATTAATACGGCAGTCTTTTAATGGCCAAAAAGTAACGGACCAAAAATGCAAATATGAGAGGCGATTATCTTCCAACAGTTTCTCACCCAATATAAAATTTAATCTTTTTGAACCTGAACGGAAATGATTGCAAAATCTCCTCGTCAGATTTTCAACTTTGAGCTGCCGACTTCACGTATATATTTCATATTTTCAAAGATATACAACTTGCGTGTGACAAGAATGATTGAATTTTAATGATTGGTCCAGATTATAGGTTATAGTTTGAGAGAGCCTTTGGGCTGAGCACACATACAGAAATCGAGCAGCGCCTGAACATTTTTTTTTTTCATATTCACACAAGCCAATGAAACCTCAGGTCTTGTGCATCCCGAGGAGCAATTTAGGCAAACAAATTCCAGTGGCGTGTCCCACCTCTGAAAACCGCACCCTTCAGGCGGCGCCGCAGCAACCGATATCGGACACCAAAGCGTCACTCCGGCTCACTTTTAATTTAAATTGTTTATTAATGACGGGTTCGGCGCACGCAATGGAAACAAAAATTACTGTAATATTTGTGGTCTGCGCGACTTTTTCAATTTGCTCGACGCAAACTGGTTTACATATGCGCGTGAGAGACGATAAAAAAATTAACTTTCTCGCTGCAGGACAAATTTGTCTCAAGAGAGGCTTCTCTTGATTCTCCTTTGTGCTTCTTTTCGGGCGGAGAAATCCGAAAATCATTATTATAGGCGTGTGTAATTACGCTAATCTCACGGCTCGCACTTGCTTCATTTTCGCGCTATCAAGATAATAAGGGGTCTTGATTATGCCATAAAATTAAAATGGACCATGCGTATGCAGAGCTTGGGCAGAATTTTAAGTCCAGAACTGAAAGTTGCTCCAACTGATTGTCCATTGAATGAGAGTTCATGAGGTGCAGGTTAATTATTGCCTCACACAATCGATTGAAGCAAGTGCCAATAAGAGATATTTTTACTGGTTCACAGAATGGGGAAGTTCTTGTGAATTAACATATAAATAAATACGGAGAATGACTCTTTTACTCGGCATTTATGTGGCAAAAAATTAAAGTCGTCAGTTGCATCAACACAAGTAAATAAATGAGAGGAGAATGACGGTGGATGAGGTTTGTAGCAGCCGGCGCAATTACCATCATCATTGCCAGTAAAAAATTCTTTCAGCTCCTGTAATGTGCGCCAAGCTTATAAACATGCCAATTAAATCTAGTTCAGAAGTAAATAAATTAACATTTAAATTTAAATTCTGAAAGATATACAATTTTCAATTGCGTTTCCATTATTTTCAAACGTTTAAATAATTGCAACTCAAAATTACTTTAAAACACTCATACATATGCTACTTATTTTAATTTAGTATTTAATTTGTTCCACCAGGGAAAAAATATAGAGAGTAATTTGAGTTCTGCAGTTTAATGCAACCCTGTATAAATAGAAAAAAGGATGCAATCATTTTCATAAATCAGAGGCGCTTGTTAACCCTTCCGAAGTGAATCTGAAATTGATTTTCAACGGTGAATAGGGAGGCAGACAGGAGCGGAAGAAAATAATGAACGCCGCAGTTGAGCAAACAAGCGTGTGCACATTAAGCCTCTCTCCAATTTTTTCTTCGCCGTCATTCTCAGTCATTCAGTCTCGACCCCTTCGGCAAGATAATTAGCGATTTGGAAAACGCATAATGAGCTGCTAGGCATGTTCACCCCCAGCTCGCAACCCCCGAAAAACGAAACAAGATCTCCCTCTCGCTGCCAGAGAGAGGCCCAATCGAACTCTCGTCGCTGGACCGATACGACCATTCAAGAGGGGGATTTGAGCGCGGCATGCGTACCTCTCAGCGAGCGCGCGCGAGAGAGAAGCGAAATTAGTTAGTCGCAGACCTTGCTACAGTGCGAGTCAGTGCAGCATCTCCAGGATCTCCCTCTCTCACGGCCGAGCATCGCTCTCCGCTCTCATAGTGTGGATTTTCCCCTGAATTTCGGAAGTGCATTTTATTACTTGGAGGCGACTTGTTGAAGATAAATTCGGATTAGAATTAGTTCCGAAAAGCCACGTTTCGGGCTTGGAAGGAGCGGCCAAACATGATGTAGTTTGCCGACAAATCTGTGCTGCTCTCCTTCTGAACTCGTTACAGATCGCTCAATGATGATTCGTAACAGAAAAGTAAGTTGATTTTTTTTCTTATGATTTTTTTATTTTAGTCTGTTAATTTATCATTCTATTTCATTATTTATTATATTTTGAATGGAAGTAATTTACATATTCTATTTTATTATAAACAAGATTTTATTAATTATTTTTTAACCTTCAATTAATATAATTTCAGCTTAGAACAAGATGATTGTTGCTAATAAATTTATTTTTAACTGATATTTAATTAAAATTGAGCAGTTTTGATGGCTAATTTGAAGTTTAACTGTATACTTAATGGGCCATAGAAGTTGTAAATTTCTTCCAAGATGCACCTTGAAATTTGTCAAGAAAAGATAATCAATTTATTGGATTATTGTGAGTATGAAATGGCAGTGGATTTAAGCAATTTGATTTTCAAGGAACTTGAAAGTACCCCCTGCGATGATCCCTGCTTTCATATAAATAATTTCAATAGTCATTTTTAAGAGCCAAACAATTCGGAATGGTTTAAACCTTTGGCCTTATTATAATATACGCAGCTCCCTTATAACTTAATAGGTGGTGAAGTTATTTTCCGATAGTTTTAGGATTCCAGCCTGCATGCATCGATCACCTCTGCAGATTTGCGCGTTCCGGAAAGTACTGGAAAGCTTAGATGCTGGATTATAATAATGAATAGGCATCATGTTTGTTAAAATTTATGGGTGAATTGAGAAATTTGGACCAATAAAAATCATATTAAAAAAAAATTATATTAAAATTTGGATAAATTAAAAAGGGTAAGCAGCTAATATAGGAAATAATTATAATAAATGCTAATATTTATTTGACAAATAAACCAAAATGCGTTCAAAGTTTTTTTTTAATTCAAGGTTAAATAGTTTTATATAAAATATAAAGAAACACAGTAAAAACTGTTATTGAAGGAATATAATATGATTAAATAATGCAATATATATGATTTTAGTGGCCCCATTTTTTAAACGGTACGTTTTCGTAACCACATAATTATTTTTACAAATTTTAAAATTATGAAAAAATTAATTTCAAATCTAACTGTATTAAAACACTTGAGATAATTTTAGAGAGAAAGACATTAAAAAAATCGTGATTTTATGAGTTATAAAATTTGTTAGTGTCATGAATATTTTTATTCTTAAAATCCAGCACCTTTCAAGTTCTTCAAAGGCACTCTGCTTTCATCATGCCTCTATGTTAATACTCAAGATGGAATTTAACTTTTTATATATTTTGGTGGGGATGCTGAACTATAATTATTTCGGATGACCGTCGGACGCGACGGCCGAGTGCGTATATTTGAGCATAAAATCTGGCACATGGTCCATTAAAACTTTCAGGATATTTGCGGCAGCAGAGAGGACCAGAGGCATAGCATGCGATTTAACAATTTCAAAGTAATAAAACGACACAAGGAGCATACACAGCGGAGATTGGCCTCGTCAGTCATGCCGAATGGCAATTAATAAAGTGGGCAGCTTTCAACACTGAGAGACTGACAAAGCGACTTGACTGACGGGACGCAATGCGCCCAAACAGTGTAATCAGGGGAATTATGATAAATTGTTACGTCTCAATTTTTGAGCCGGCAAGAAAAAACGAGTCAATGCAGAGGAAAATTAATAATTTAGCCAAGTGCCGTTTAAAATCTTCAAAGCTCGCTCATGAGAGCGAACAGGTTAATTTCTCTTTTTACATTATATTGCTGCGTCGCCGCGCTGCTGGGAATAAATTAGACATTTTTTAACTCATTATTTTCGGTTGACACGGTAATTTATTATCTGGGAGCTGATTTTAGAAAATAAAATGACAGGGCGAGCGCGCTTGAGTCGTGTAAAGAGAACGATGGTACACTGCTGAAAGTTGCCCTTAATGTATCCATGGAGGAAAAAGCGTTTCACGTTGAAAAAAGGTAATGCAGGAAACTGACTGTGCTTTAAAATCTACTATGTGAGAAAAATTATTAAAATTCCAAATGCTTGTTCTCAAAATATTTTGCATTTAAACTATTTTTATTGCATAAATTTTTTCACTATGCACAATGATATTGTACTATATTTTATTTTTTTAGTTATTGCTAAAAAATTTAAATTTATTAATTGCGAATTAGAGTGTTTATTTTTATCTTATAATAAAAATAATTTGCTGTCTACTGCCGTTAGAAGAAGCAAAAATGCGTGGGAAATATCTTGATATCAAGATTAGGATATTTTTTTTTTTATAAAAGTTATGAAACGAACAGAATTTTAGTAGACTGCAAAATTAATTGGCGTCTTAAAAAGGCACCGTGGGATTTTTCACCTGATACTTGACCCTTAAAGAACTTTCAAGCAAGCAGGACCTGAAATTTCTCTGCAATCGCCGCCGAGTTGTGACAATTAATTACCTTCATTCTTACACCTGGCAAAAATATTTTAATTCGATTAATCACGAAAATATCACGCCTGCCAGCTGCGGGAAAAAACAAGCCTGGCAAGCGTGCTATGAAAGGGGAAAATCAGCAAGTCTCTGCATGGCAGGCCGGTAATTATTTCAGAAAGAAGCAAGAAATAAATTTAGCCAAACCCAATAACGGAGTACCCAATCAATTATATCGCATCCCAAATATATCAAAACTACATTCAATAAAAAGTTGTCTGCACGCGGCAAGAGAGAAAGAAAGAGCGTTGTAAATATAATAAATTACTGCATATTACAAAATCGTATCTGATCGCAGGCGCCGAGCGGCGTGTACCTACTTTTATTTATGGCCTTTTCTCACAGGGCATTTTTCTAGTTGAGCGATTCAAATCTCCAGAAAAGAAAACGATCCGACGACACTGACACGGGCGTGTCTTTTGCCCGTCAATTGTTTAACGTGAGGCCTTTTAAACAAAAATGCCACCGGCCAAAATCTTGCATTTTTGTATGAGAAGAATTGTCATAAAGTAAAAGATTTAAATATAGAATTTGGTTCTAGGAGGTAAAGGAAATCTATCTTTTATTATCAGATTAAATTTTTTTTAGTTCTAAAGGGCCAATGAAAATTTGACCAAAAGTATTTTAAAAGAAAAATGCCTCTTCACGATTGAGTCATTACCTCTCTAAATTCAAGTATGCAGCGAGATAGTGGAGAGTGCATTCAGTGGCGATAATTGGGCTTGATTATTGAAAATTACACAGCATGAACTCATGTTTATATTTATGATTCCACTCCCATGGCACTTGGTAGGTATTTTTCAAAGGAGAAATTTAATGGTTGCCCAAGTGCTTTTCCTCCAGAGCACTCCACAATGCATTCAGCAAATTTAGATGTTTTCAGCTTTCAAAATTGAAAATTAAGAATTGTCTGAAATTCTTATCAACAAATCAATAAAAAATTTAAGCAGCCTGTTGTGCAAAAAAATTAAAATAAAAGTATAATTGTAAGCATTAAATTTTTGAATATTCTAATTGTGATTTGGTTGTTTTATAATAAATAAAATGGAAATACATTATTTAAATTTAAAGTGCATTGAAGACTATATCATCAATTTGATATGAGATTTGAATTACAAATTTTCTCAACTTATGAAATTAAAAAATTTAAATTATAAAAGTTTAGCGTTAATTAAAAACATTTAAATAAAATTTATAGATAATATATGATAGTATTTAAAAATCATGCTTTTTTTACCAATTTTATTCAAAATAAAAAGCGTTCAATGCTTCACTTTAACCAGACTGCTTCTCATTATCATGGACACCTCTTTAGAGATGCGTTTACAACGAGCCAATTCGCGGCAGTTTACCTCGCTAAATATGCCGGACGCGGCCAGAATGCGAATAGACTCGCGTTGCCAGAGCGAAAAGAGCATAAACGTTTCGTTGGATCGGGAGCAGCAAGCAGACCATTTGCAATTAATTTATATTCATCGAAACCACTCGCCACATTTGCTCACTGACGGACTGAGCGTCCGTGCCAAAAGTTGAAACAAGATCCGCACAAAAAGTCTTGGCTACCGTGGCGGCGATGAAAACCATTCGCGGGACAAATTGTGTATTTTTATATATACATTTGCATTTGACACTCCTAATGATCTCGCCAACTGGAAAAAAGCTCCTTTGCGGCGGCGGCGGGGCTGAAAGCAGCCACATTTTGAGCGATAAACAGGTGCTGGCTGCCGACGCGCGGTTGAGTGGCAAATGCTGCGAGTGTAATCTGGAGATGCTGCTGGAAAAGCGGGATAATCCTCTTGAGTTAAAAACGGCGCGTTGAAAGCTTTTCGATAGATCGCAGACTTTTTAAGAACGCTTCTTTTTGATGCTGCGTCTGTAAATATTTTTTTTATACAAATTTGCAAGTTGTTTTGAATCGACCATCCTTTCCAGATCAGAGGGGACTCGTCCTTTTGATTTTTTTTTCGTCCCTTTGAATCTTAACTACGATGAATTTAATAAATTTCTACGACATTTTCAATAAGGGAGATATGAAGAAATTTTAAATTTACAATTTTACCAATACCGATTACAAAATTTAATTGCAGACTGTAAATTTTTAATGATTGTGGAGCGACAAAATGTTTTAATTTTGCTACAATATGAAAAAAATGAATGAAATCAGTTTTGAAACTATAATTAATTTATAAAATTAAAAAATAAATTTAATTATTAAAATTTAGTACATATATGCCAAGAATTCTTCAATTTAATGAACCTAACATAATATTAAATTGTAAAACTTGTTTAAATTTTTAAAAAATCTTTGCATTTGATATTTAATTTTTCCATAATACCAGATAGACCATTTTTTTCAGTTGCATTTTTCACAATATACAAAATAGTCTCGTCTGCGCTTCCAGACTGTCAGCCAAGTCACACAAGAAAGGTTCCTGCTTTCCGTCGCCACAAAAGATTAACCTGCCCCAGCTGCATTGTGCTGTGGGTGAACGCAAGAGAGTGTGGAGAATGTAGATTTCTTTCACCTGATCGCACCCTTTGTTCGAAAAGTCCACGCTCTGGCCGCTTACATTTTTTCCCAATTATTTTTTCTCTCTCTTTTCAAAGTGTGTCAAGAGGGGTCTGGCGCCAAGCAGTGTTGTCTGTGGAAATGAAAAGTGCATTGTCGTTTTGTCCTCAGGGTTGCTGGTCAGTGGCGGTGGTTGTGCTGCTGGTCGTCCTGATCGTCGCCCAGGGTGCGCAGGGGGCCAAGGAGAACAACAAGAAGAAGCGGCCCAAGAAAAACACGTTCATCGTCAACTCGGCGCCTCTCAACTTCTCAGCCCCCAGCTCGGAGGCGCCGCCGCTCCTCAGCAGCACCTTGGCTTCCAGCATGGACGCCTCCACCCCTTCGACGCCCCCAACCACTGCTTATGTGCCCCAGAGCCTTCTGCCGCAGCCCACTAATTGGATGTGAGTACAAGTTAAAATCTTTCTTTTTTTATTATAATTTTTTAATTATCTTTGGCCCTTGAACTGAATTTTTGTGTACTTTTTTTGCCCTAATGTTTTCTATTATTGTTTTTTTTTTTCAGCGTCTTCCAGCTTATTTTGTCCATTCCAAATATTTGTATTTTATGTATTTTTGAATACTCCCCATATTCACTTTTTCTTTTGTTTTAATTTAAACAATTATAGATCTGCTAATAATAATTTCCATTAAGTAATTTTTTGAAATAATTTTTATGATTTTTGAAAGTGAAAACATTTTTACCTACTCCAAATTATCTATCCCACACCATTGGGGATACGAGTGAATCCAATTAACCTGTCCCTTTTTCGCCAAGAAGTATTCAATTTTTCAACAACTTTTCGACACTAATTCAGGTTTCTTGTTTTTACCGATAACCTTTCAAAACCAGTTGGCAAAAAGTTTTGATATCCTTCGGGTCGCCCACACCGCGCCAAAGAACTAATTCATTATAATCAAGAGCACGTTAAAGAGAAATAAAGGCGGCATTGGCATTTAACTGGTCCCTTTTTCGCATCGCAAAACCTGCTGTCGCTCTCGTCGCTGATTTGCTTTTTGTCGCGCCGCTCAGACGCCTGCCTGCTTTGCTGCTTTCGGCTTAAAATAATGAAATAACGTCCCTCATTAATTCCCGCTGATAAACAAGCTCTTTTTCCTATACTTCTCTGATCCGCAGAAATTGCTAATCCCTAAACCGCAGTTATAGATTAAAAACAACCAAGTGCTGATTAAAATTTAATTTACGAACCAAATTTATTTAAATTGCAAACGCTATTCTTACGTCTCGTTGACTGGCGGTGGTACAATTTCAACACCCAGATTAAATCGCGCGGCAGGAGAAATATTTTTTTTATGCACGCGAGTCGATGTATAGGACCAAAGGAATGCGTCTAGGCGGCGTAATATATTTCTTATTTGTGGGTGAGTGGGTGTGACATTCGAAAAGTCGGCTGCGTATGGCATTGTTCTTGTGTGGGGGGTTGTGGAATCTAATCTCTAGTTGTTGTTCACGTGGGGAGGATGGATTTCAACTTCATTAAACTCAAACACTCTCTTTGTCTGCAGTTCATGATTGTAAATAAATGAATAGATTGAAAACAAATTTCATTGCTGAAAAACTATCTAGAGCAAGGAAGTATAATTTTATTATTTATTGCAAAATAGTGAAAAATAGAAAAATTCATAAGTATTATTTTTGCTTTTTGTTAGCTAAATATTTACAACAGAAGAGTCCGATTGATTTAAAAAATCATACCTTATAAAGTTCTGTCTACAATTAAAAAAATATCAATAAAATTATAATTATTATATATTTAATAGAAAAAAATAGTTTAATTTTCAGTTAAGTTTTATCAATTAAAGGGATTAATAAGCAGGAAAAAAGGTCATAAATTAAACTCCATTCAAATTCAATTTAAAGAGATAAAATCTGTTTCTAGACCAATGCACCTAAAATCTGCTAACCGGTCTGGGTTTTATTTTTTTAAATGCCCCACACTTTGATAGATCCCAAATACAGAGATTATTGATGTAGTGCGCTGGACTTAGCGTCTTGAACACAGCACGCGGCGAGAGCGTTGCACAAGCGCGAGAGAAGAAAAGGTGTCTGTATATTTCATTTACAGATCAGATAAGCTGCCGGGGCTCAACCCAGAGGTCACGCTGATTGCAAATTGAACAGCACTCTTCTGCCGGGCTAATTAGCTCAGTAATGTAACAAACGTGCAATTACTCAGCAGCTTGAATTATTTTCAAATCTGCAAACCGTAGGATGGTGCAAAGTAAGAAAGAAATAAAAATCGATCCAGGCTCAAATTTATTATGGGCGTCATCCGAGATTTGTTTCCCATTTTTATTTACTCGCTGCGGGCTCCGAAAACTGGTGGGCCTCGCGTTTCATGCATTTGAATGAAAAAGTGCTAAAGGACCCTCACGTCTTGTCTCCTTGTGTGATGTAATTTTTTCCGCAAAAAGTGTTCGGGCGCGCGCTCATGGTGCTCTTCGTCGGACGAGCGTGCATGATGTTTTCAATCAGCGGCGAAACCGCTGACTCGGAAGAATGCTGAGAGAAAAGATGTGTTATCTGGGCCGCTCTATTGAATTTTGGCGCACACCTGAGACTGGGAGAGCGGCTTATCGCGATTTTTGCATTTTGTAGCAAAACTGCTTCTAAAGGCCGCAGAAATTGTGCAAAAAACCGGAATCGCGCGCCGAGTGGATGAGAATAGCAGCAAAGACTAGACACAAAGTTAAAGTGGGAGCTTTGATGTTTTACAATTCTGCAAGCTAGAAGCCTCTTGAGACAGTCTCTTTGTTGAGAATAATAGAAAAAAATGGTGTTTCAAGCCAAGAAGATTGCGAAAGAATATTTTTCCCACAAAACTCTCTTTACAGTAAAATTAATTTTCTTTATATAATTTGAAACGGTTATGGACAAAAATTTATTAAAATGCATCAAATGAATTTATTTACTTTTTATAGAATTTTATTTAAATTCAGGGGCGGTTTGGAGGTTAGCATGGCAGGAATCAATTAAAGCCAAAATTAAGGTCATCGCTTGGGGCCGTATCAGTTGCGCCTGACTTTGTATAACGCATAGATTATTACATACAGCTGCGTGCCGCTGCGTTCGAATTATTAATAATGTTCAAGACTGCGGCAGCTTGACAGCAGTGAGAGAATTATGAGATCAAGTACCATAGTAATTGATCTGCTCTCACGGCAAGTTTTAAATTTTTTTTAATTATTTTGAGTCATAATAATCAACATTTGAATATAAATTTATCCATATTTAATAACCAAATTTAACTGCACAACGTAACTGATTTTAAATCATCTTTGCGCATTCATTCCATATTTGTTAAATTTATAAACAATTTTAAAACTAAATTTACACATAAATACAAAATTATTGTTAGCTTACAAATTTTAAATAAATAACCCAAATATGGAAGAGAAATAAATTCAAGAAATATGAAAAATGTTTGAATTACTTTAAAAAAAAAATTATTTACGGAATCACATAATTTAAAAATTATTTCTTATTACAAAATATAATACAATAAATTTAAAGTTAAGTATTTTGCTAAACTATTGAAAAGTTTCAAGTGGAAAATCGCAATGTTGGCAGGAATGGCAGGATTCGCCCTTTCTATACCACATGCCTTGCGATGCATGATGGAATCAATTTGCTGAAAGGGCGGCGCGCGAAAAAAGAATTATCCATGCCTTTCGCGCGTGCAGATTGAGAGAGGTGTCGGGAGGCGCTTTCAAAAGTCGGACTAGGTAAATTAGGTTTAACATAGATTTAATTAAGTGTTGACACCGCAAAATTACATGCCCCTTCAAAGAGCATGAGATGCAGTCGTGAGGAATAAATTTGGCAGGGCCTGCGCCGCCGAGCCGCCTTTCACTGAAAATTAAATCTGCTGTCTGCCCTGCGTTCAGCCCAAGGATTTCTTTCTCCGCGCGGATTGTCGCTCAAAACATTTTATAAAAGTTGTGCGCCCGTTTTGGAGTCAGAAGTCACTCAATCAACCGGTGCTTCGCAATAAAATAAAGCAGTTTGACGTCGTGTGATATTATTAAAGCACTACTTTGTCTCAATACACTTTCCATAGGCGCGCACAAAAGAACAGAGTATGCGCTCGATACGAAGGCCGCGCCGAAAAGTTCTTTCGAAACTCGAGGGAATTCTTTTCTCTTTCCCTACAAATGATGAGGCTGCACGTTTATTGCTAATAATGTTATTAATTGCGGTGCTTGCAGATAAAGAAAGTACCATTGGATTGGGGGCCGTGAGCAAGATTTATTGTTTTTGACTGCGCGTGTGATTTATTGAATGGAAAACTCAGCCGGAGATTGTTAAATTTATTATTTGCTTCAAAAAGCGGCGAAAGGAGATCTTGTGCTCTTTGGCAATATTTGCAGAAATTAATTTGAGTCGCCCAGATATTTGCATTTTATTATTATTTTAGTCTGCAATTTTATCTGACTATGAAATCTATAAAGGGGAATCGATGACCTGATATATTTTATGCCTGCCTTTTTTCATTAATTCAAAGCAAATTATTTACGCTTGAAAGGAAACGTTCAGAGATTAGTAATATATTTATGTTTTGGCCTGCAGTCGTTTTTTACATATAAAAGTTTCCGCTTCGTTCGAACTGGTGGTCGAATTAAATCAGCCGGCCGTCCGATAAATAAATCTTTTCGTTGGATCTATTAAGCATGGAAATGTCAAAAGTCTCGAATAGGGACAACTATTCACCAACTGATTCGGCAGATTGTATCAGTTTCGCGATCCAACCGTTTTGAAATGACGATGGAGATAAAAGTTTTACAAGTTTTCATAGAAATAATAAAATGAATCTGTTCTTTTTTATGGGAGAATTCGCTCAATAGCTATAGCAGATGTTCATCATGAGCAATATAAATATTCCACCTTAAGTGTAATGAAGTAAATTAACGCACAATTTTTTTTTCTAAATATGTAAATTCGAATTTTTAAAAATTTATTTGTTAAACTTTATTAAATTTGCTCTTTATGCAAAGGAAAGTTCGAAATAATTTTTAACTTATTGTAATTGTTATTGTTGTTTATTCTGGTTTCTTTTTTTCAAATCAATAAAAAAAGGAAAATAAAAATGTTAAAAACAAAACTTAATAATTTAAATTTTATAATAATTTTTTCCTTATAATTTGTTTCATAAATAATTTACTTTGAATTATTTGACTATCTATTTACGCTCTCAACAAGTTTGAACCTGATCGCAAACACATAAATTTCTGCACCAGTCACTAATTATCATCACAGACAGCGCAATGAATAAAAATACTCGTGCATCGACTGATTACTCGAGCGAACAAGCCAACGTTTAATTGATTTATTGCACGCACACGATGGCGAGCGCTCAACATCAAAAGATTGTGTAGCAAGAAA